ATTTGCAATTTTTTAATTTGAAATGCTATCCTCACACCTGAGAAGTTCAGAACCATCAGCCCAAATTGTTCTTCTGAACTGCAATTTGGCATTCCACCTGGGCATTGTCAAAACCTCAAATTTGATGAGTCTAAAAGCAAATACATTATCTCATTTTCTTCTCTTCTTCCAGATTCCTAGGTCTACTCATTCCAACTCTCTTAGCTCTTTCAGTTGCACCACTAGTCTTTCAGTTTCCTGGATTTAAGTAAGTTTGGATTCCATTTTTGCTTTTTGTTCTTTTTTCTTCCAATCTGCATGTCCTTAGGCTACACCACTGCTTCTTTCTCTGCCTCAAAAGCACCAAATTCTAGTGCTCATTGCTTCTTGTCTCAACTTTGAAAAAAGCTCCTTCACCTTCAATAGACCCCACACTGCAATGCCAAGTTTCCAAACTGGCGAACTTCACCACCCCTGCATAGAGAAAGAAATCCAAACGACTCATATGGGCATCCCGGACCCAAGTGTATCTTTCCACCCTTCTCTCTGGTCCTTAGCATGCCCATATACCTGTGACAAGCAGATACACTGGACATTCCTCAAACATGCCTTTCAATTCCCTGCCCCTGTGCCAGGCATCCTCTCTCCCTCCAACCTCCACAGCCTTTCCCAAAATGTCTTTTCCACTACCCCTGGCTGCAGCTGTCCTCTTCCTTCTCTGAACCCCACAACACTCCCTCTCTCTCTCTCAGATTTTGAACTTATTCAACTACATCAAGCACTAAGCCAGTTTTCTGGGAAAGAGAGAGACAATCCTTCATGGAGAATCAGGAGAAAGACAAGAAGCAGAGACTTAAACACTGTGGTAAATGCTGTGCAGCTGTGAAGGAGTCATGGCACAAGGCAGGCACCTGCCTGGCTCTGCAGAACAAACCACTGTTAGATTATATGCACCCCGAGGGTAGGAAATAGGCTTCATTCATCTTTTATTCCCTGTTATTCTTAGCAAAGTGTTCTATGTTAAATAACATCTCTGGAAAGGTTGTTATATGAAACCCAATGTCTTGAGTTGGAATCTGATCAGCAACCTTTCATATTCTAAAAGGGAGGCCTTCTGTGTAAACCGGTATCTCCATGAATTGTCAATCCAGTAATAGGGCATCCTGTTACTTTACCTACAGTCCTTTTCATTCTCTCATCCTCATTACTTCCTCTTTCTTAAAAACCTATACAGTGCACTCCTATATCGTGGCTATTCTCCCAAGAAAGCAAAAGGCGCTCTCTCCATACAGGAACTACAAGTGGTTAGTGTTACACATTACACATCGACTCTGGCCCCAAAACCTGCCTTTTAAGAATTCAAGTTCAGTCATGAGATCCTAGTTCTTTTTCTTCTCTGTTCCTATAAACGTGGTATAACTTATCGCCAAATTATCTATCTCATAAATTATCCACATACTCAAAGGGATTTATAATCACTATTCTTGCATCTTCTCCCCTCCGTGCTATGGGAATCATTGTTATATACACATACACAAACATATACAGCAATACACATATTCACACACTTCCAGGAGTGGGAAGAAACCAAGGGAAAATCCTAGTAAGGCCTGACTTATTTATGCAGAAGACTAGAAATTCCTTCCCCCAACACAGCCTGCAGGTTTTACTTTAAAATTATCTGAGTTAATAGCAGCCTCTTACAGACTTACAAAAAATGTGAAAAACCTTGGAAAGAGTTAAGAGCTCATGAGTCATTTACGGATTAAGGTAAATTAGTTCCACCAGGTTGTTTTCCTCTTGACATCTAGACAAGATCTCATGCGCATTAATGAAAGATTGAGATGAGAAATGACGATAATGAAAATAGGAGATCTGAGGACAGACTACACTTAAAGCCTCTGAAGTACTGCAACTTTAGGAGAATATAGCTTGAAGGTACAGGGCCCTGGGAGAAGGGTGAAATGGGTACATGACAGGCTGAAACTGAAAAGGTTTATAAAAAGCAGGAATTTGACTTAGGGAAGGATGAGCTTCTATGTCAGGTGTGTCCAATCCTTTGGCTTTCCTAAATCACACCAGAAGAATTGTCTTACGCCATACAAAAAATTCACTAACACTAACAAGAGCTGATGAGCTTAAAAAAAAACAAAATCGCAGACACAAAAAAAATCTCATAACGTTTTAAGAAGTTTACACATTTGTGTTGGGCTGCATTCAAAGCCATCCTGGGCTGCATGCAACCACAGGCCTTGGGATGTAAAAGCTTGCTCGATGCAATTAATTATTTTTGCTTTTATTCTCATTCTAGAACCCAGAACTCAAGCTAAAATGATTAAACTTTATGGGTTACTTAAAATTGCAGTTTCCCTAGGTACTAACTCCCATGCAGGTGTTGCAAGTTCCAAATGATTTACCTAGGCATGCATATTACTAAGTATTCAGTGGTGGATCATATAAGTCAAGATACTTTTGGATCTGAGCTGTGAATTAAATATATCCCTTCCAATGAATTGAGGGTAATTTGGCAAATTTAAACTGCCCTCTCCTGTTGTCTCTAAATTCTGACTGAAGCTGGAAAAAAAATTTGAGACATCTTAAAATTTTAATAAAAATATTCAGTGTAAGGTTAAATTTACTTGCCAAAAATAGAAAAAAACTAAATCAGATTTTGCTAAATAACTATGTATTAATTTCGTTATAATTACAATAGGCAAATACTAGCATTTCATATAATGGCTGGAAGTTCTCAACCAACCATCAAATCATTCAACAAACATTAAGTAGCCTCTGAGCACTGACTATGCAGGCAATATTTATAAGTTTTTCACCTTTTCAGAAATTTCTCTGTAAAAAATCATTAAATTAATAAATTAATATGAGGATTACTATTTTTCTCAAGCGTCAACTTCTCAAATTTCCCACTTGTTCCATTATTAAGCTTAAGGAGTATATTCTACTATTGTATGAGTTATTGAACATGTCAGATCAGAAAGGGTGTTTGCATTTAATATAATAATTGTGCCATTCTTCACACTACTGTTCAAAAGGGTAAAAGAAGCAGGTAATATAAAAATACATCCAAAGCAAAGGGGCTAGCAATCTTCTATTATGCTCGAGTATTATTTATTGTGTAAAATGTTTAGCAAATTCCACAATGAAATATGCATAGATGGGGTGATTACACATTAGCATGATCTTAACTGTTCAAATCATATTATAAAATGGTCACTTCCAACTAAAATACAGCTTAGCATTTAAAGGTAAATTTTACAGAGATTTCATTTCCAAAAACGCACATAAATAACACCCACAAAAAAACAGCTTCAGGCTTGTTATAATGGAATAAATGAGTCCTAAGTCTTAGGCCAACAGATACAAAAACTTGACATAACCTGGGGGACTAAGGTGGGATAATCCCTTGACCCCAGGAGTTTGAGGTCAACCTGGGCAGCACAGGGAGACCCCATGTCTATATTTTTTTAGGAACTGGCATACTTCTGTTTTCACCCAGCTGTTACTTTAAATATTTAAAGTTCGTTAACAAATTCTTCAAAGATGTCTCCCACTTTATAATTTCTTCTTTCAAAGAAGCATCCACAGTGCAAACCCCCCAAAATCTTCAATAATAAACCAATAGGTTCTTAGCTGTAGTGTGATGAAAAGAAAATACCTAATGTTTTAACTGATTCTCTAATAAGGAGAATAAAAATCTATTAACTTTCCCATATGACAGTGGATATTATTTACCAGTTACAAAAAACAGATTACCCAACTGAATTAATAATTTTGAAATAAGATAATTTATTAGATCAAGTTATTTACTAGACATATAAGCTTACTCAATGTCCTTGTAACAGCACAGTAATCCTAAGAATTTCTGTCATTTGAATTACATCCATAATAAGGTAGAATAAAATAAAAATCCACCGTGCCTCAATGTTTTTATTATTGATACCTTCACGATTAACAAGAGACCATCAGAGCCAGAAAAAGAAAACATTTCTAATATGGGAATGGTATATTAACTTTATTGCAAAATGGTAAAAATAAAATTGAAACAAAAAGTTTCTTCCAGAACTTCCTTTACATAATTTTTTTTCAAGATCTAATGTTCCAATATTTAATACCCAAAACAGGATAAAAAAGGCTGACCTAGCCAGCCCCTTACAAAGTCTCAAGAAAACCCTTACTTGCATGTTAATACCCATAAGGACAAAATATAATCTTTTAAACTGAATGAAAAGATAATATTAAATGTCTTCAATGACACAAACATGGAGGAGAAAAAGATAGCCTTGCATCTAAGAGCCACTTTTACTGGCACACAGATTAGATCAGAAGCAGCTCTTTCAGAAAAAGCTCAATCTCCATCCAAAACAGAGAGAGCAAATCCTATGCATCCTCTCTTCTCATACTTCTTATTACCCACACGCAAATTACGAAATAGCGTAATTGAGTATGTTGTTTAGGGAAAAATTTTCAAAAAAGTGAAAACCTAGGAAGGTAAGTCATTGCGTGCACACTCTAACAACAGCTAAGCATTTCCTACGTGACTAATCTCTTTTAAATTCGGCTCCTCTGTTCCTATGCAATCTCATATTATCTATTAAAACTGCCAAAATATTTTTAAACAAGATCTAAGAATTCCTCTCTCAGTTTCTGATCTTTGCACTCCTTGAGTTGGCAGACACGTCACTGGCAAACCAACTGGCAGTGACAAGTTACTCCAAATCGACTCTTTCAGATGAAATTTTAAATTAACAGCCATCCCAAATTTTCCGTGCCTCCCGAATCTCAGGGATCGAGGGGTAAGTACACGCAAGTCCTCCCGATCACTTGGCTGCAAAACTTGGTTTGCAGAATCTACAAATGGATATTCCATTTCAACCATCCCTTTCCCCAAGATCCTGCAACATTCAGGCTTATCAGAAGGGTCGTTTCCTATCTCAAGCTTTCGAAACTCTAAGCTTGCAAACCACAAAGATTTGATAGTATTTTCAATGAGAAACATTTCACACCTCCGCATCCAAGGCTTATATGTCCCACATGTGTTTGCAAATTCCTCATCGGCCTTAGAGGCACAAAGAGTCTCTCGGTTCCCTGCACCTCAGTGCCAAGTTTCTGTAAGCCACTTCCATGCAAACTCTCCTTCCGCTTTTAAAAAGAAAACTACATTCGCAAGGGGAGGGTACCCAAGAAGAAAACCGAGACGGTAAGTGCAGCACTTTTATAAAGTAAACAAACAAAAAGCCTGCCTTGACGAAGGCGGCTGCAAAACTCTGAGGCCAGCGCGCACAACCCACATCGCATACCCCCACAGCGCCCCGCGGTCCCTCCGAGCGCCGCGTGACGCCCCCAGCCCGGTTAGCAGAATGGACTCGGCACCCACGGCTTTCTCGGAGGGAAAATGCACAATGCACGAATCAGGGCCGCGCTCCCCGCTCCCCGCGGCCCCTGCACACAGAATGTCTCCGGGAATCGCCCACACGAGCCCGGGGCCGCCCTCTCCTTCCGGCGCCGGCCGCGCGGAGCCCGCTCCCCCGGACACCGCCCCCAAAGTGCCCGCGCGGCCCCGCGACTCCGCCGCCCCAAGTTCGCCCGCGGCCGCTCCGGCGCGAAAGCGTCCCGCACTTGGCGGACCGAGAGTGGCGGCCGTCGGCCCCGGTACGTACTCAGCCAGTGGCTGCAGCGGTCTTGGCGCGCTCTCCCCGAGGACTGCTCAGCCCCAACTCCAAAGCGACGGCCCCCGGCTCTCCCTCCTCTGGCGGCTGCGGGAGCCGGGACGCCCCCGCTCCCATCGAGGGGGGAAGGGAAGGTGGTGGGCGCGCTCTCCCTGCTCCCCCCCAGCTCGGGCCCGCCGCTGCTTCCCGCCCGCCCGCCCCGACGGCGCTCGCTTGGCCGCGGCGGCAGCGGCTCCTCCGGGCTGCAGCGCGCGGGCGGCGGCGGCAGCGCCTCCCCCGCCGCGCCCTGCCCTCCCCTCCCCTCCCCTGCCTTCCCCGCGCGCGCTGCACCCTCCTTCCCCCTCCCCCTCCCGCCTCCGCCGCCTCCACCCCCACCCCCCGCGCTGTCACATTGGGAGATTCCGCTCTTGCTACATTCGCGGCTCCGGCTCCCGCCCACGCGCGGCCGAGTGACGCAGATCCCGGCGTGGGCCGCCGCCGGGCGGGGGCGGGGGCGGCCTCCGGGGCCGGGGTTCGGCCCCTTCCAGCCACCCCCTCCGCGGAATCCGGAGGGCGGCCCATTCACACGGCAGCTGGGAGGAACCAAGTGGGCGCCGGGAGTGGGCGGCTCCCGTGAGTCCGGGCGCGGGGAGGGGACGACCGGGAGGGAGGCGGGCGGGGGACGCCGCCTCGGGCCTGCTGTCCAGCTGCAGAGTGAACTGGGGAGGTTTGCAATTTAAAAAAACAGAATTATGTGTGAGGTTCCCGATATAGTATTTCAAAGAGCACACCCGCCAAATCCAACATTCCCCGAGAGGCTGACTTAAAAAAAAAAAAAAAAATCCTAGCGCGCCGGGCTCCCCTCGCCCCCGCAGGCTCGGGGCGGAGGCGGGGAGGCAGGTGGGCCAGGTGCGCCCCTGCCCGGGGGCCGAGGCGTCCGGCGGGAAGGCGGCAGCGACCGCACGGAGGAAGGGGCAGCAGGTGCGCAGCGCTGGAAAAACTGGCGGCTGGGAGATCATCTCTGCCTTGCTCATCTTGACCCCTCCCCGCCTCCGCCTGGCGTAGGGACTAGAGGAGGAGGAGGGAAACAATGGGAACCCCGGAGGCCGAAGTGCAGTTGTGAGAACTGTCGCGCTGACCGGGTAACTTAATTCCAACCTTTTTAACCTCCTGAAAATCTGCCTTTTATTTTACTGTTTAATGTTTTCTGTGTACATGGTGTAGAAAAACGACGGCGTTAGTCTAGTGCTGGTATATGTCAAATTAGAGTTCCCAAGGCACAATATAGAATTTTTTGGTTTGCATAAACTTTGCTAACCAACATGTTAAAGCATCTTCAAAAATGTACAAGCTGGCCAGGTACGGTGGCTTACCCCTGTAATCCCAGCACTTTGGGAGGCCGAGGCGGGCGGATCACCTGAGGTCAGGAGTTCGACACCAGCCTGGCTAACATGGTGAAACCTCTTTTCTACTAAAAATACAAAAAAATCAGCCAGAGGTGGTGGCGCGCGCCTGTAATCCCAGCTACTCGGGAGGCTGAGGCAGGAGAATCGCTTAAACCCAGGAGGTGGAGGTTGCAGTGAGTTGAGTCGAGCTATTGCACTCCAGCTTGGGCAACAAGAATGAAACCCCTCTCAACAACAACAACAAAAGCACTTAAGCTATCGCCATAAAAATTTTGGAAGTCTATTTTTTAAATCTATGTTTACATTCTTTGCAAAAAGTAATTTTATCGTGTTCTTGAACGTTAAAGAGCATTTATTAATATAAAATTACTGCAAAGACAGGTAGAATCCCGTTTTAACATACACACAAAAATCTAGTTTTATAGGAGGCCATTCCCACATCCTGGCTGGCCTCCCAGAGTGTGCCTACTTTGCTGATCGGGATACAAGGCATTCTTTGAGATGGGAAATTCTTTATGTTGCAGCAATGGATAGGATGATGATGATGATACTGAAAGCAAAAGACTTTAATCACGTATAGAACTTTTTTTTTTTCTTTTTGTGAAAACATGTTATAGAAATGAGTAATGCTACAATGGAATACATATAATTAAAGTTAAATCTTTTTCTTCAGTATTAGTGACAGGTTTTGTCTGGAGTAGTTGAGTTGATATTTCAAATGAGTAAGTCTGCTTAATTCCTTAAATTCTTCAACTGCAGAAATCACTGCTGGAAGTTTCTCTTAGCCCCTCTAATTGTCACGGTTTTTGCAGCTGTGGGTCCTGTTCTGCTAGAGAGAAAGTTAGGTGGTTATGTTAAAGACTAGGGAATTTCTTGGCTGGTGGGGAAAGTAATGTTCAGGCAACGAAATCTGCAAAATTTTCCTCTAATTCCTTTTTGGAATCCTGATGTTTTGCAAACACTTGTTCCTGAACAGCTGGAGACAAAGAACTTTTTTTCCATAAAGATATATAATCACTGATTCATGAGTCACGAAATTAGTAGTCTTACCTGAACTATTGAGCCTTCAAGTGGAATTGTTTCCAGAGTTTGAAGAAACAATATGAAATCCTCTTCCCAAGCTTGTCTGTGTCTGGCTGAACATGATGCTGAAAAGGAAATGTGTCAGGGCAGATACTGTTTCTTCTGACTTGTAACTGGTTTCTACAGTTAAACAGTGAAATCTATCCTTGTTTGTTTTCTGGGCACATTTAGATAGTGTATTCTTCCCAGATTAAGAATGGCACTTTTGGCCCACTTTACTTTGCCTTAAACGCCCTATGGTGCTGGGCGAAGTGGTAGGAGAAAGGAAAATGAAGGAAGGATAAAATTTTAAGCTTTTAAGCATCCAATTCTGTACGTCTGTATAACAACACTGTAGTCAATATGGTAGCTCAGAAAGAACGGAGGCATTCACCTGTATCTGAGACAAGTCAGATGAAGAAGCATGGATTCTGTTTTTCCACTTTACCACTTGTTGTTGCTCATGCCACCCCTAATACCACCTCCCGACTCCAGCATACACACACAGTGTTCTCCCACTTCCACGCCTGAGGATTTGTTAGGGGAAAGCAAAAAGATGCACATTCCATCCTGGAAGGTAACAATTATGGTTGTCTGATTATCCTCTGAAGGCCCTCTGGAAGAGATCAAACAGTTTCAAGGCTTTAGAGTGTTCTTGGAGGCATCCCAGATAGGTGTAAGAATGTGGTAACACAAACAGTTCCCATTCAGACCACTTTGGATATCTTTTGTTAAATGTCCATGCAGTAGTTTTGGTTTCTCCTGGTGTGATTTTACTATAAATACCTGTATACTGAAGTTATTGGTTTATTCAGTACAGCTTGTTGAGCACCAAGAATGTGCCAGGTGTAGGGCTGGATGCTTGGAACACAAAGACAAGTAAGTCATGGATGGGTCCCTGCCCCTAGGGCTTTGCTATAAAACAGTGAAAATAAGAACAGAAGGAAGTCTAAAAGACAAAGGAAAATGTTTTGTCTCTGTTTACAGGTTTTATTGTCTTTTCATACACTCTAAAAGATTAATATAAAAACTAAGAAATGAGATTATATTATTTTTGTAATACTCCTTTGACTGCAAATCACAGTAAAATAAAAATAATTTTCTTAAAACTGGAAACATTACATTTCTTGTTACCTTTCAATTAGAGCCTAAAGGACGCGAATGTAATTTCCAAGAGGGCAAAAGTTTTATTAACTATGGTCTTTTATTAACTTTTGTATATTCACTAGCTAGAACATTGGCTGACGTATACTAGTCACTTAATAAATATTTGTTGAATAAATGAAATGGAAAATATGAACTAACAGTTTTTGTATTTTGTAGTTGTTCTTAGTATGAATTGTATTTCCTAATACATGATACCTACTTCTGATTAAGTATATAACATTTTCAATAAAATATTTAGAGTAAGAATATGTTTTAAGCAGCATGTAAATTGTGAAGTAATTTTAGAATGTTCCTAAAGTAATTAGCATTGGATTTTCAGGCACAAAATTTCTTTTTAAATAAATTATAAAAGGTTAATAAATGCACCAAATTTTGTATTTTAACACCATTTGAAAAGTGGCCTGAGAATTATATCAAATTATGTTTTTTAAATCTATTATTCATGTGTTTATTCTTAACTCTATTACTTGCAAATATCATCCCAGGCTTATTTCTTATTATAAAAGTAAGGGCAAGACAGAGCTACTTCTGATGGCTTAAATAAATATTACTTGTACAGTTTTAAGTTTTGAAAACACTTTTTTAAAAATTTGAAAGCCTTCTTTCAAATTGTTGGCTTAGTTATTGTTTTTAACCTGTTAGCAGTAGATTTGGAAGAAGCTTATTTTACAAGCCTGTTCATAATTTTAATCCATACTGTGGAGTGTGTCACAGTATACAGCCAAATCACCAGATGTATTTCCCCTCTCAGAAAACCAGATTTTGCCTCTCAAGTTTTTTTTTTTAACTTTTATTTTAGATTCAGGGGCCCATGCGGTTTGTTACATAGGTAAACTCGTGTCGCGGGGGTATATTGTACGGATTATTTCATCACCCAGGTATTAAGCCCATTACTCAAGTTATTTTTGTGTTCCTATCCCTCCTCCCACCCTCCACCCTCAAGTAGACCCCAGTGTCTGTTGTTTCCTTCTTTGTGTTCATAAATTCTTATCATTTAGCTCCCACTTATAAGTGAAAACATGAGGTATTTGGTTTTCTGTTCCTGTGTTACTTTGCTAAGGCTAACAGCCTTCACTTCCATCCGGGTTCTCACAAAAGGCATGATCTTGTTCTTTCTTAAGGCTGCTCTCAAGTTTAAAAATTAGAGAAAAATATATTTTTTTTCTGATTCTGAATGGAAGTTGAACTTCATGGAAAATAGAATATAATGTATGCCACTGAAAATATACAATCAGTATATATGACACACCTTTGAACACAAGACCAGTCAATGGTAAATGAACACTGCTCCTTTACTTTTGTCTTCTGATGGCTCTGTCAAAGTATAGAAGCATGCTGAGGTGATTCGAGATGGAAGACGCATGTTGGCATTGAAGAGCAGTAAATCACATACTGAACAAGCTATTCCCTTTACAATTCTCTTTCAGTCGTTTGAAAGAGGATATTTAAATTGGTGCCAGTATGTCTCTGATCCCTGTAATACTTGCTGAATTCTGTTTTTTTTTTGTTGTTGTTGTTGTTGTTTGTTTGTTTTTACAGTAAGGAAACAGGCTTCAGCTCGGAGCCTTTGGCAGGCCTCAGTATATAACTGGAATTTAATAGCACTGTTTTCCCTGTTTTTGTTTTTATGATGATCTTCTATTGAGGCAAATGAGATTCATTATGCATTTAGAATAATGATCTCAAAATATCTTTTAAATAGATTTCCTTGAGCAAAAACCCTTAATTTTAAAATAAAAAATATTAAATAAATTCCTTTTTTTTTTTGAGACAGGGTCTCTCTCTGTCACCCAGGCTGGAGTACAGTGGCATGATCACAGCTCTCACTGCAGCCTTGACCTCCCAGGCTCCAGTGATCCTTCCACCTCTGTCTACTAAGTAGCTGAGACTATAGGCGTGCCACCATGCTTGGCTAATTTTGTATTTTTTATAGAAACATGGGGTTTTACTGTGTTGGCCAGACTGGTTTTGAGCTCCTGGCTCAAGCCTACCTCTCAAGGTAAATACTATTTTACTGCTGCAAAAAAATAATAACTAACATTTATTGAGTACCTAATAAATGCTGTAGCATTTTATCAGTATGCTTGCAACAGCACTATAAAGTATGCACTATTCACTTCATTCTCTTGTAGAACTGAGGAAACCGAAATGTGGGTTACTAAAATAACCTATTTAAGGTAACATGGGAGACCCAGGCTTTGAGGCCAAGAGCTCTGTCCCAGAGCCCATGTCTGGACCATTAAACAAATAGCCCTAAGTAGCCAAGTCAGTGCCCAAGGTTTCAGAAACACTCAAGTGTTTCTCCCATCTTTAAAGGTCCAGCTTAACTTCCTTGAAGATCACCGTGACCTCCACATCCCTCAGTAGCCTCTGCTTTCCTTAGCTCCCATTCCACTTATCTTTGATACCACATGGAAGGCTTATTTATGAATCTTTAGTGACTTAATTTATGTTCATTGTAAATATACAGTAAGCCCCCTTGGAAAGAGCAACTATGTCTCATACTTCCCTGGAATTCAGTAAATATATTTTTAAAAGGGGCTTAAAGAAATTATTATTAAAACTGCTTCAACATTATTTTAGCATTTGCAAAAATAGGGGATTCTTTGGACAAAAAATAAAATAAAACCCAAACCATTTCCACATTGTGAAACTAAAAAAAAGTTTTCCGTGAAAAAAAACTGTAGAAAGTTGGTAGTGATTTTGACAACTGAGTGAAAATTTCACTGAAAGAGCATTAATTTATTACTTTCAGAAAGATTTCGTACTTTAAAGTGCTTCAGTAATTCCAAACAAAAGAATAGATTTAAAATGTTCTTAGCGGAGAGGAAGAATAACATTATGGCTTATGACCTACAAGATCTAAGATACAATATAATTCTCCCTTATTATTGCCTCAGAACAATTCTATACTTAACAAATTTTCCACTTTGTGTGGTGGTAGCCCTACAATTAACTGAGTCATGTACGATATTCATATTACCAGAAATAGAATTAAAATTTTTCTTATTTTACAATATGAAATTCAAAGCTTTAGAAGTGTATTATAGACTAAGTGAACTTTTAAATGCATGGAAATCTGAGTATTTTTAAATATATGGAGATTATAAACAAGTTTTTAAAAGACAAGTTAATAGGAATATATTATAACTCATAATTTCAAAAGCCACGACTTTAAAAATAGCCGCTAAAAAGATTTGCTAAAAATTAAGCAAATCTTCATGTGTTGTATTTTATAACAAGATACTATAGAATTTTAAGGTAAAAAACATTATAAAGTTCACCTAGTTCATCCTCTTCTGTATATTCAAAATATATTCAAATACCTTGCAGAAATTCAAGATACAACTAGTTTAGTTTCCAGTTGTTTATTTCTTTATAAGTTGGTTATTTTGAACTTATAATGCAATCTCTGTTGTAAGAAAACAAAAATTAAAAAAATGAGATGGTTAGATTTCCAGGATGGGCTACCAGTGCTTATAAAGCAAATGAAAATACTGTATTATAAACTTTGGGGGGATTAGGTGGGCTCTTAGAAATCACCTAATCCAATTGACTTCTACAGAAAAGGAAATTTATACTTCACATTGCTTATATAAAGAGCAGAAAAATATAATATTAGGCAGTAAGTACAACCAAACATTTAATTGACTGAATAGTAATTATGGTTAAATTGTGTGTTTAAGACAGAAGAGAATGTAAATGGAAACTTTTGAAAAGACTTTCTTAAGAGAATTTTGGGAAAATTTTTAAGGATTGGAGCCTTGTTTTTCTTTCTCCTCTATCCCCTATCTTTGGCAACAGTGGTTAAAACTCCTCAACTCTGCCTTCTCTTCCCACTCCTTCCCTCTTCTCCCAGCATCCACTGTGAAGGACTTCTATGGCTAACTCATCTGTAACACTGTTTTAGGTCTCAGCCACACTGGCTACTGTCCTCTCATTCCCGGCCATTCATAATTGTTAACAACACAGGCCAGGGTAAAGAGTAGGTTAAAAAGTGCTCTGCTTAGGCCGGGCATGGTGGCTCATGTTTGTAATCCCAACACTTTGGTAGGCCAAGGTGGGTAGATCACGAGGTCAGGAGATCGAGACCATCCTGGCCAAAGTGGTGAAACCCTCTCTACCAAAATACAAAAAATCAGCTGAGCGTGGTGACGCACGCCTGCAGTCCCAGCTACCAGAAGGCTGAGTGAGGCAGGGTAATCACTTGAATCTGGGAGGCGGAGGTCACAGTGAATCAAGAGCATGCCACCGCACTCCAGCCTGGACGACAAGAGGGAAACTCCATCTCAGAAAAGGTGCTCTGCTCACCATCTCTGGAATGTGTTCAGACCATCTTCCATTTGCGGCCTGCATTCTTGGCTGCCTCGTTCCTCACAGTCCCATGTCTGGCTTTGCCCTTCTCCACCTAATTTACTGAGATGAATGTCAAGTCTGTGCTGACTCTCCCAGCTCAGTCTCTGGGCTTCTGTCTTTCTCTCGGTCTACACTGCAGGCAAAGGACCCAGCAGATGAAGTACCCCTGTGAAGCACTCCACAGGAGGGTGGATGGATGATTTTATTTGTTTCCTTGACAAAGATGTGTGATTTGTCAGCCAAGATGTGGGCTTTTTCATGAAAGGAGCCAGGGAATAGGAAGAGAGCATGTCAAGGAAGAGAGCCCTTCTTGAAGTGAATGGGCAAGAATTGGAAGAAAGTGGGGGAAGAGGATGGAGATTAAAGATATGTCTGCACTTATGAGAAGTGACTAAAGTAGAAATAACTGTTTTGGGAGAAGTGAAAAGCCAATGAAAAAGTACCAAGTACAGGGCTCCCCTGAAAAAAAATGGAAAGAAAAGGCAGAGGGGGCAAAGAAGAGATCATCCTCACATAAACTCCTCTGCACCAGCCAGATTTGTGTTCCTCACCTGGGACTGATGGGAGTGATGGGATGGAGTAGCTGGGGCAGATCTGCAGGGAGAAGGGCAGAGAAGCAGCAGCCCATGTCTCTTTGCTTGGATTGGAAGAGGTAAGTGTCAGGAAAAGGAAAGAAAAGCAGAATGGGTTCAAAAACTATCCCACCATACCAAGTACTTTACCATGCTGATTCAGATATCCTGAGTTGTCTTATCACTCAACTAGCTACAAAAAAAATATTAAATGTGTTAATATTGATGAGTTGGCTAATTGTCACAACAGATTACTCAACACTGCCTTCTAGGAGCAGGTACTTTGAAAGGACAATGCACAATGCAGGTATACTACAATGAGAGACTTTTTAACTACTGAGATAAAGATAAATCAAACATAATTCTGTTTGCATATAATTGCAAAGCTACATCTTTACAGTTGGAATTATACTGTTATGTACCCAGACTTATACATCATGACTCAGCTTACCCACGACTGGCAATAATATGTGGTAGTCAAAAACTTTAAAGACTTTTCTATCGATTACTGTATTTTTTCATTTCTTACTGTAACAATTTCTCACAGTGGCAGAGGAAGGGTTTTTTCCAACTACAAAATATATCCTTTAAATAAACTGTTCCAAATCATCGCGGTGTTACAGAGGTTAGGGGCTCATAATTGCTGGTAAAAAAAGAAAAATAAACAGCCTTTATAACAGCAGTTTGTGAAGTTGAACCAAGAGTTTCAACATGTCCATATGATTTCAGCCAACAAATTCACTTCTAAGATAGTTATACTAAGTATATACACATTTAAGTTTATACATTTTTATTACAACATTATTTATAAAATTGAAAAAACATCCAAAATAATGTATTGGTTAAATAAGTTATATCACATCTAGATGATGGAATATATTCAATTAATATTTAATAATATTGGGAAATACTCGTAATATTATGGGTAAAAATAGAGCAGAGAAAAACAATCTGTAATCTCTCTACCAGAATATTCATGGAAGGAAATTTACTAAATGTTAGCAGTAATTATCTCTGGGTGATGGTATTATAGATAATTTTTATTTTCTTCTTTATGTTTTTTTTCAATTTTTAAAAATTTCAACAATCAACATGCATTACTTTGAAAATCAGGAAAAAATGAAATGTTATTTGACCAGGATCCTGCTTCAAAAGCAGTTTACACATAAAAATGAAAACAAAATTGTACGTGTTTATCCACTGGTTTGCAGAGGGCAACAAAAACCAGGAGGTCAACAAAACCCGGGAGCTAAGAAATACGTGTTGGGCACTTAGTATGTCATCTGTCCTGTATAGCTACAGATAATGTATCTGACACATGGTAGACCCTCAAGGCATAGATACCCCACCACACCAAATACTTTCACCATGCTGATTCAGATATCATTCTGAGTTGCCTTATCACCCAACTAGCTACAAAAAAAATGGTATGTGTTAATATTGATTATATATATTATACATGTAATAAATATATATATTATATATAATAAATATTTTTATATATAGCACTGGCTTGAACTGCTTTAATATGAAGTCACAAATAGTCTCTTTTTTTCTGATTAATCATTGAAGCATGTATCTTCTTGAGGATCCTCCTGTTCCAGGGACCTATGCAGTCCCAGAGCTTTTGCAGTTCAAAATGTGATGTTCAGTGGGCTTCCACACCCAATGACGGAACTGGCATCTGGGCCACCTCTAATGCCCTCCCTGTTTAGCTGCAGAAAACTGGCCCACCATGTGCAGAACTGGTCCCGTGCTGCTTGAGACCCATCTACTGCTGTGGTTCCTTAGGGGAGGACAGCAGAGTCCACTTTCTCCGACACTGCAGTTCTTTCTT